AATAAGCAACAAGGAACTTTGGCTGGCTGGTAACGAACCAACCAAGAACCTATCACCTAACAAATATGCACTGGAAGGAAGTGGAGATGGATTGAATCGGCATACACTGAGAAGACCGACTGGGAACATCACGCGCCAGGCCAGGCCCTCGAGTGGAACCCCTATGGGAAGCGATGAGTTGGGCGTCTGAGGCGAGGGTGACATGAAGGATATCCTGCGAGGAGGAAATGAGAGCTTGTGGGCTGTCGTGGAGCCAAGTTCAAAAGATTTCAGAGAACAGAGTTCACTGGAGATGTGCTACTGAAGCTCTATGTTACATTAGGAACCCAGTGGACCAATAATAATAATAAAATAACTCGAAAATCCTACCTCGCCTAGTTTACTAGCCGGTGCTAAGCCCGGGTAAAGAGGAAAGGATAGACATAGGGCTAGCAACCCTACCCTGTAAAGCCAATTAAATCGCAAAAGAAACTTCAAAGCACAGGGAAAATATTTTAAAAAATAAACTTATTCCTCCCTGGAATCAGAGAGACGAAATGACGTCGGTAGGTGAAGGCCTTTGGAAAGGCAGTTGGCCGATGTTTATTCTCTTCTCTCCATGAATGCAAAAGTAAGCATTGGGGCATGAAATGTCCATACAGTGCTTGAAGCTGGCTGGCAAAGCTGCCCAGATTACAAAAGAAATGAGGAGACATAACGTAGAAGTGCTTGGAATCTGCGAAAGTAGATGGAATGGAAATGAACTCTCCCAACTGCCAACTGGAGAGTCAATAATCTACTCCAATGTTGTCACCCAGACGACAACCACAAGCATACTGAGTTATTGAGTGGCTATCATGACGTCCCTTTCTAGAGCATCGAAGGCTCTCATGCAGTGGGAACCAATCTCCTCAACGATCAGGATCATGACAGCAAGATTCAAACCAAAAGGAAGGAAAGTTACCTACAAATAATGTACGTCTAGAGAAGAAGGAGGAATTTCTTAGACAACTGCAGTCAGTACTCGAAAAGACCGCAGTTGGTGACATCAAAATTCTAATGTGTGACATGAATCCCAAACTGGGAGCGGACAACACAGGAAGAGAACTCGTCGCTGGGCTGAGAGGCACTTGCTGAAATGAATGAGAATGCAGAAATGTTTGCAGACTTCTGCTCATTTAATGACTTGGTGATTGGAGGCAGTGTGTACAAACAAGGATATTCACAAAGCGACTTGGATTTCACCAGACACCAGAACACACTGAAAATCAGATTGACTTCATCTCAATGTGAAGAAAGTGGAGACAGTCTACTGGACAGAGGATCATATCAAGAAGGGAGCAGATATAGTTTCACACCACTATCTAGTGTAGGGAAACTTCAAAACCAAGTTGAAAGCCTTCCAAGAAGCTGGTGATAGACCACAGTTCAAGTTCAACAACCAGAACAGCAACTGAAGGACGAAACTACAAAGGACATATTCACATCAGTCACCAGGAAAAAATGGAAGACATTAAGCCTTATCCGCGAGGAGACCTGGGTAGAAGAACACTGGAACTCTATGAAAGAGATGTGGGAAGAAACCTGCATAAACGTGTTAGCAAGACAGAAGAAACAAACTAGAAATGGATCTCTACCGATACATGGAAGCTGATAGAGCAGGGAGAGGAAGACGATGATGGTGAAGCAGAAGATGAACCAGTGTAGTGCAGTGCAGGGATCAACAACGAAAGAGGAAATGAACACAACCTGTAAAACACTACACTGGACAAAGAAGTGGAGAATGGTACGTGCAAAGCCAAAAGACACTTCTATGACACATTGGTAAGTGAAGGAGAACAGGCTCCAGGAAGAAGAGACCTGGAAACACTATGTCAAATAACCAGATTGCTGTCTGGGAAGAGATCAACGCAGACGAAACAAATGAAAGACAGTTAGAGAAATTCAGGTTCCAAAAAAGAGAAACAAAAAAAACGAAGGGCTGGCCACTTCAAAAAAACCCTTTATTCTACTACAACTACCACTAGGTGTAAGTCATGCAGAAATATCACCAGCAACCCAACCACACAGCCTCCATATTTCAAGTAGGCTGTCGTTTACTCTTTTCTCCTTCACTCCATTTTTGATGGCATAAACTTAACCGCATCTCTCGGTAACCATGTGTTGTCCTTCCCACTTCGGGAGCAGTTTTATTGACCTCTATTCGAAGTATTGAATGGTCACATACATTTGCACATTTGATCAGAAGAAAAGTACCATATCAAGCAATGTCTGCTACATCCCTAATCCAATGAACATAATGTATTTCAGCTTGCACCAGTAAACCACTTTGTATATTTCCTTTCTAGAAGTCATATCACTGATCCACGATCGGAATTATTAAGCTCACTAGAAGAATTTTCTTGTTTCAACTATCTGCTACCTACGGTATGGGTTTAGGAAACTACACAATGTTCGGTTTCTGGGGACAGGAAAGAGTCAGTGGCATACAGAATTTGTTCAAATCTATCATGTGGAATACAGTTATAACGATGACATTCATCATGGAAAGCTGACCTGCAGAAATAATGCTCGGGAGAATAATGGATCCTAATGTACAAATGATAATGTTTTTGTTTCGTGATTTCAAAATCCAACTATAAGATAAATTGAACAAGCGACTGAACAGATGCGGTCGTGGAGATTGTAATTTATCATCAATCAGTATATTGACTGAAACATGTACATGCGTTTTTATTATGAGATATCTTCTATGGGAGATATTTGTAACCTATGTTTAATTTATTGTGACAAATGATACTCTCATTCTTTATTTCGTATTATAAACGTCTGCACTGAACACCTACTGAATCGATCACCGCATACAACTCGTCCAGAAATATCACCAGCAACCCAGCCACAGAACCATCAGTGAACACAAACCCTGCGACAAAATGCAGAAGTGAAGTCCTCAGCGCCATGAAGCTACTGAAAGCTGGCAAAGCAACAAGACCATGTGGAATTCCTCAAGAAGCACCGAAAACAGACAAAGAGACATCAGCCAACATGCTCACATCACTATTACAGAGCGTTTGGAAGGAAGGAAGGAAGGTAGGAAAGGTACATGCCGACCGATTGAAAGAAGGACTACCTTGTCAAAATACCAAAGAAGGATGACATAAGCCTTTGCAAGAACTGGTGCGGAATCATGCTCCTGTCCCCGTCCACACCAACCAAAATATTAAGTCGCATCATACAGGCGAGACTGAAAAATGCCCTGGATTCAATTGCATTAAGACCGAAACAGGGTGGTTGGCTTCAGGAAAAACAAATCATGTGCGGACCAAATTGAACCATTACGCTACTCATCGTCATAGAACAGAGCATAGAATGGCAGTCAACTCAACTCAACTCAACCTCAACTTCATCCACTTTGAAAGGATCTTCGATAACGTCGATAGCGCCGAGAAGTAATTTAGCAGGCAGCTGCTTCAACACCACGCTTTTAGTGCCACGAACATTTATCAACCTCATTCAACACCTATATGCTATATGAGGATGCTACATACCAAGTAATTCACAACACAATAGAAAGCTCGTTGATGGCTTTGGAGTGAAGACAGGAGTAAGACAAGACGAGATTGTCTACTATCACCAATGATCTACCTGATTGTGATCGACTGGACTGCACTGGACTGGAATGGACTGGATCATGCAACAGACAACTGTGAGGAGCTATGAGAAGATGGGAAGACGCTGGCTGGACTGATGAAAGAACCCCAGAAGAAGATTTGGATTTCGCTGATGATGATGATTATGTCTAATGTCTTACATCGCACAAACTCGAAGATGTACAGGCGACAACTAACAGGTTGGCACAAGAGGTAGGGTAACGAAGGGAGATGGGACTTCCTTCAAGTGAACGTAGAGAAGAGAGAGGTGATGAAGATACCCAACAACAACAACAACAACAACAACAAGGAGCGCCAATCACCATTAAAGGGGGAAATGTGAAGAAGGTTGTCTCTTTCACCCACCTATCTACCTACACACCTACACACCTACCTAGACAGAATCGTCTCAACTACAGGCGGCGGCGGCACACATGAGGATGTCAAAGCCAGTCAGGATCGGAGAGACAGCAAGACAGCCATTCCTTCATTAATTTGAAGCCAAATCAGTGTGGAGATCTACTGCACTGCACTCAGCATGAAGCCTGAACAAGATCCGGATTTTCAACACTAATGCCAGTCAAGTCAGGACTTGTGTGTGATGGTTGAGAGACTTGGCACGTTACGAAGAGCATTTCCAACAGACTGCAGACATACATGAACAGCTGCCACCTACACTCGATACTCAAGATCGGATGGATGGCCAGAGAGAGTAAACAACAAGGAATTCACTCTGGTCTGGTAATAAACCAACCAACAACCTATTGCCTAAGAAATATGCAGAGGAAGAAAGTGGAGATGGATTGAATTGGACATGCACTAAGAAGACAGTTTGAGGACATCACGCGTCAGGCCAGGCCAGGCCAGACCAGGTCGTCGAGTGGAACCGAAATGGGAAACGACGAGTTGGGCGTCCGAGTGGAGGGTGACATGGAGGAGATGGTGTGAGGGAGAAGTGAAAGCTGCTGCACAGTCGTTGAGCCAGGGTTGAAAAGATTGCGGAGAAGAGAGTGCAGCGGAGACGTGCTACTGAAGTTTTATATTCCGCTATGAATCCAAGTGACAAATTATTATAAATAATAATCCAAATGATTTACAAATTACTTATGTATTTAATCTTATATAGGCTCATTCAGTTAATTCTTCAGGATTCAGGTACTACTACAGATAACTTTTGCTGAATACACTACTGATGAGCTAGTCAGCAAGGGAGAGTATCGATCGCTCAACGTTTTGAGATCTCTGATCTAACCTTCAGACCTTCTTGCCTCTTGTATTACGCAGTAGGCTATTACATGGTGCGATCGCTGACTAACTAACTAGACTTGAAGTGGACCAAGTAATCAAGATTTTTTTGGCCATTACAAAGCCATGGCTGTTGAACGCATGGCAACAAACACACGATGTATAAATTGCAGATTTTGTCGTAAACAAGAACTTCGAAACTTCATGTTAAAGGATTTCTGATCTCTTAAGTACATCATATCTGCGTTCACACTAATTTCAGAATACACTAGGGTTCTTCATTCTAGATCTGAGCTGATTACTGCCACAGGAAAGATAAACGGAGGCTGTCTGAGTGAAACCATTGCTATAAAGACAACGTTAGGCCGTTACCTACTACTACTACTACTACTACTACTACTACTACTACTACTACTACTACTACTACTACTACTACTACTACTACTACTACTACTACTACTACTACTACTACTACTACTACTACTACTACTACTACTACTACTACTACTACTACTACTACTACTACTACTACTACTACTACTACTACTACTACTACTACTACTACTACTACTACTACTACTACTACTACTACTACTACTACTACTACTACTACTACTACTACTACTACTACTACTACTACTACTACTACTACTACTACTACTTCTCACACTTTTCTACTACTGTTACTGCTAGTCATGATGTGACTCAGAATTCAACCTTTATATCTTTTTCATAATTTGTAATCTGCTAAGATGAAGAATCCATAAAATGCTTATTTTCTTCGGGACTACCGAGCAGTATGACAGACAAGAGCCTAACTTTACTTTTCGTGACTTTCTTTCACCTGTATAATCAAGAAAATCATTGAAAATGAACGAAGTCAACTGAATGTTTCGTAGACTACACTCTTCATAGGACTCCTAGTTGCTTCATGTTTTAAGTCAGTTATTGGTTTGAAGAGATTGGTTTAGTTGGAGGCAGTTTTTATCACACACTGATATCATTCGGAGAAGCTGAGAGTGCTAGACAGTGGTTTCTTCCTAGTTTGGAACTTCCTAATGGGGCGCGCCCATGACCGTGCCGGGGATCTAATCTAGGATGGTCCGGTCTCATGACAAGCAAACTACCATCCAATCGTTGAATCGGAATACAGTGGTTCAAATTTTCCCACTTCTGTCAATTCTCAATATAGTCTTATCAGTGGCATCGGCGAGTACTTCTACTCACATCCGTATTGGCTGGTTTCGCAGTTAATGGCTTCTTAATAGAGTAACAGAAATTTCCCCTCGAAACAAGCAATTAATGAGCCCTGGATGACAAATCAACTGATAATTTGTATAGATCAATTCATTTTAACCAGTTTTCATAATAGGTCAACAATAGGCGTAAAACCGTTAAAATCTTCAGATTACTAGATAGCCGTTTCGTCCTAGTTTGTGATCCCTTGCCAAGGATCGACCATAATGTCTCAGGATGAACATTTCAACCCCCAGCCACTGGTCCGTAACCAGATATTCCTTGAGAAATAAGTATGCTTGACTCAGTTTGACGGAAGAATGTCGATGTGGGCTGCTAAAGAGTCTAAGACCGAGACGAAACAAGTACCAATTACTTTCAGGTCCTACTGGTTTTCAAACTTATGTTAGTTCGGATAAATCCCCATCGTGGAAACAATGCACACACAGACACATTTATTAAAATTAATCATAAGGATGACATCTTGTGATTGAGTACAGACAGCTAGTCATATAATGGCTGTTCATTTGACTTTGTATCGCTCAGTGTAAGTGTACTACAGTCATAATTGAAGTTCACCTCGTCTTTTTGAATGGAATATGACTGGTTTTGATGAGTCTACCCTTCCTAGATCCCAGTGCTTTGATTATTCAATCTTATTTCTCAATTCTTTGAATTTATTCTACGAAATATGTACCTACAGTTCCCACTATTATCTGTATTTGGCTGATGTTTCATCTCTGAGGTAAAGCAGATAAGGAAGCAATACAAAAGGGAAACAGTAATCATTGTACGTTAGTCTTCATTGTCCATCAGTTCAAGGGACTGAATGAGGAGTCTGCATGTAAACTTCATATGATTATGAGCAATGATAATTTATGCTCGAAACGTCATCAAGTAAATAATTCTAAATTACTGTGTGTTATAGATCAAATGAATAAATCTAATATGGAATTAAATTCTACCACAGTACCCAAGTTTTACACCTTTACATGGTTACAAACCTTGGTCCCTAAGTCACCTTTAGTAAGCAATTACTAATCAACTGATGTTACTTTGACATCAAATACTGTTCTTGAAAGAGTGCACTTCATGAAAAAATGCATCCTGATGAGGTTATCCTTCTAATTTCAACTATTTTAGGTATCTTATCCAAAATGCTGTTTTTTCAAGTGGCACATGTATTATTCACTAGTCGGGCATTAAGCTAGTAAATTGTAGGCCACTGGCTCGAGTTCTTCTACCATCTGGGCTATCTTCATGACCTCCAGCTATCATCAAATTACATTGGAACCAGTGTGTTAATCAAGGTTATCTAAGATGGTCTTATTTACAGTAGACCGATTTGCATAAATGAATTGACATACGCTAAAAAAGTCCTACTCGGAACTTGTCAGCTGGATTTACCTACACTCCATGGAGTCATGGTGTTCCTATTAAGATATTGCACAAAAGGCGACTGTCATGCCTCAGTGGCCTAGTAAATAACGCTTTGGCATTTGAAGCGATGGTTACTGGGTCCGAGCCCCACTGAGAACAACATCACCCACTGGGGTGCAGGTACACCCAGTTGACGAGTCCGAAATGAGAAGAAACGAGCGCCTTGGATCCCAATACTGGTCACTAAGTAAACCAAAACATAATGGATATTCAGACGATATCGAGGCTTCTGCATAGGACGCTAAGAAGTAGACAACTACACTGCTCACTTACTAGTGATCAACTCTTGCACATAATTCAGTCCTACAGAGGGTCAGTGGTGGTCTGAATAGCCTCTCAACTTCAGCACTAGCAGACGCAGGTTACCGAGGGAGCATCAGTTACACATGTACTCCTGTGATGAGTGCCAACAAGTTCGAAACCTATTTAGAACAGAATCTCCTGTCAACCAAGTCAACATCTAACACTGAGATACCTCTCCTTAAAAGCTGATCTAAAATAGCAAGTGACTTTCACATTCCCACTTACTGGTGCTTATCACTTAGATGCATTATTAACCTAGACAGTTTTTCGTGGTTTAATATAATAATTATTTAAAAATTTTAAAGGACCGCTATAAATTTTTTGTAGAGAAGACAAATAGTATAATTGTTTTTATATTATACCGCCGTTGATTGGACCGAATTGACCAGTCTCTATTGGAATATGGGCTCCTGCGCGGATGCCTCGATATTACCTGTACTCTAATTATTGTAAAGATGGATAACGGCTATCAGTGGAATTCAGGATGTGCATTTCGTCCTATTTAGGACTCGTATAGTATAAAAACAATCATACTAAAACTATACTCGTCGCACAAGAAGTGGCTGTCGTGGCCTGGTAGTCTAGTGGGTAACACTATGGCATTTGGAGCGACCACTCCCGAGTTCGAGTCCCGGTGGGAACAACATCACTCACTGGAAGGCATGCACATATAGCTAACAAGTCCTAAATAGGACGAAATAGGAATTTTGGATTAAACTGTTAGCTACTATCCATCTTTACTATAATTAGAAGACAGAAATAGATGAGAAAAAAATCAATAAATTACTATTTAACTCAATGGTTCTCCTACCATCATTATTAATATTGTAGTTATCATTAATGAGTCATGACTGTATTTGCATAAATAGAATCTAATCAATGATTGTTAGATAGAGAAAATAATATATGCACAAGAACATTCGTCTTTTTGCAAACAAAACACATAAGTGTACACAAACTGTGTGTGCTCTTTTCTTTCTTAACAAAAGTTTAAGAAAATGTGCATATCGATTTCTTTTCTACTTCTCATATAATGAATATTCTCTTGAAGCAGTTTTTATTAGATATTCAGTAAGTGTATATTGACTGACTAGACTAGACCAGTAAAGAGGTTAATAATACCTCGTAAAGATTTATTGACATGCTAGTTGGTGTGTATGCATGCACATCTGTGTGTGCGTATATTCAATGTTTTGTGCACAGACGACCAGTCCATATGGTTTAAGTGCTTACCTGGTGACCAAAAGAAATTAAAACTTAGAATCGATTGCATGTAGGAGTACACATACACACATGTGTACACGAAATGAAACGAATTGACACGACAGGTGAGATAATTAGGTGGTTCATTAATTCAATCAGTTAATAGTAAGGCTGAATCATTCATTTATTGAAGAAGAAAGTCCAAAATTCAGATAAGTTTAGTATGTGTCTGTTAATAACTTGGTGGTAGAATACATATGTCAATCGATCGATTTAAAAAAGCGGTCTGTCTCAATACTCAATAAATATCGTTGAAGTTATTGGAAATCAATAATTTATATTCATGATGAAAATCTTTAGCTTACGTAGTGTCAATTATCAGCCACGTTAATATCACACATAGAATTTGATTTATTGGTGTAAAGGCTAGTTACTAAGCCCTTTTCTACCGTTATCTAGTTGTATATCACTTAGACTATGCTTTAAGTTATAAGCCTTAGCAAGTTGAGATTGACTGCTTTCCAACTGGGCCTATTACCATCGCTAACTGTATTTAGACAACTCTTAAGTTGCAGTGTTTGGAAAATCTGCTTTAAGCCTGACTTATCTAGAAACGGCTTCATTCGGTATGTTAAATAGACTGAATGTCGATTTCTTAAACTTACTTAGTTTCCTCATATGGTCCTGTTTCTATATGCTTATTCAATTTGCGAATATGATCAGATTTGTTCGATCCCTGGTAGAGTTGTAGGTGTGTGCTGTTGAGGAGCCTCATACTAGTCTCTAACACGGGTACTTCCTGTGAGTTTAGGACTCGAGTTGAGAAATTGACAACCCACTTTAATTTATCAATCATTGGCTATGCGAGGTATGACAGGGTACTTTTCTTCCATAAGTTTCTTAAACTTTTTAATTTGAGTATAGTTGCATTTTCTAAAGTCAGCTAATCTTGTTTATTGATACTTGTAATTTCCTGTCACCATAGTGGATTGAACTGTTTGACGTCTGTTGGCCAGCGGCCTTTAGTGCAGATACCTCGATATTGCCTGAATGTTCACTATGTTGTACTCTACTTAGTGACTAGCAGGGAAATCCACAACATGCGTTTCGTCCTACTTGGGGCTCGCCAGCTGCATGCACCTGCATCCCAGTACTCACTGCTTCATACTCCGAGGCGTTGTCCACCAGGCTACTAACTCATGACATCCAACGATCCTGAAGTAGTTATCCGTTGTTATTTGTCGACACTTGAGATTTCCCCGTTGCTTTGGGGGTTTGACTCAATGGAAACTGGGTTTGAGTGTGATTGGGCACACCATGTCTCAGTGGGCTCCAGATACATCCAGCTGACAAGTCTTGAGTAGAACGAAACGCATATCCTGGGTTCCGCTATTAGCCACGGAGTAGATTATGGCGAATCTTACATTTTAAGCAAGTTGCGTGGATGACCTTGGGACAAAACAGCATAGAGATGGAAAGAGTCATAGATTCATTTACTGGAAAGCCATATGGAATGAACTCT